CGGGCTGGGCCCGCCGCCACCGCCGCCACTGGCCCCGCAGCTGGGGGTGGGGTTGGGGTTGGGACCCGGGCCCCCGGTGCTGTCCGGGTCAGTGCTCTTGGCCTCTTTGCTCTCGTCGTCCCGGGAGGAGTCAGACTTTTTGCCTGAGGAGCCGTTCTTGGCCGCGGCCGCTGCGGCCGCCGCTGCGCGCTCCTGCTTTCGAAACTTGGCGCGGCGGTTCTGGAACCACACCTGGCCCCAAAGGGGAGGAGAGGCGATGAAGCAGGGAGAGAAAGGAGGAAGTGGGGAAGAAAAGCTTCAGTTAGGGTGGCCTACGTTGCATTTCAACTTGTTTTAACACCCCGTCCCTTCCATGTGCTGTGAGCACCAGCGCGCATCCTCCCCACCAAGTCAACACCTCCCTGTTGCTAAAGCATCTTCCGAGAAAATTTCTCAGGTGGACCTGTGCATGCCAGGGAAAGAGTGGCTTGCAGAAGAGGTCGCAGGTCTCAGAAAGACCCGAAATGGGAAACCCTTATGTTAGTGGGGTTTGCTCAGTCTGCTCCTTGAGAAACCTCCAAGTTCGACATCCACCCCCCAGGCCTCAAGTCCAAAGTTAAACCCTAATTGGTAGGAGGAGGAGCGCGCCTCTGGGTTTTACAGCCGGCTACCGATTCCTGGCCTTTACCCTGGAGAAGCTGTGCACGCCCCTCCAACCGGGTTCGCGGGTAGAGGCTCACAGGGCACACCTGTGTCCCTAACAGGTCAGAGTAAGCCGTGGTTCTTGACTTTCGTAGAGTCACAGCCTTTCTGCAAATCTTACACAAATCATAGTTCCCAGAAATATACACTATACGCCTTAGTGTCATGTTAAAAAAAAAAACAAAACACTTGATTTAGGAGGCATTTGGCAAAGAAAACAAAACAAACAAACAAACTTACTATGCGGGGGTCAAAGTGTGCACCCCTCCTCCCACAGGGCACTTCTGTCCCCGAAATGCTTCAATCATTCTCATCCCAAGACCCCTCAGGCATCTGCTTGGGTGGGAAACACTTGCAGCTGTGAATGAACTGCCAAGAGCACGCGCCCTAACTAACCCTGCCTCGCGCACAGCCACACCGACCCTGGGTCCCTGCGCCCCGGGGCCTTCCCTTGGAAGGACCGGGGACTGGAACTTCACCACCTGCTCCTCACCCCGACCCTTCCCGGGACCCGTGCGGCGGAGCCGGGTCAGTACCTGCACTCGCGCCTCGGTGAGGTCGATCTTCAGGGCCAGCTCCTCCCGGGTGTAGATGTCAGGGTAGTGCGTCTCGGCGAAGACCCTCTCCAGCTCTTTGAGCTGCGCGCTAGTGAACGTGGTGCGGATGCGCCGCTGCTTGCGCTTCTCGTTGAGGCCGCCGTGGTCGGTGAAGAGTTTGTAAGGAACTAGAGTAGGGGATGGCAGAGGACACAGAACGTGAGCAAAACGGGCAGCACCGCGCCGGCCGAGAAGCCGGAACGTGCGGACTCCAAGGTCAGATCGCCCGGAGCGGCTACCAACACACCCGCGTGAGAGTAGCGGAGAGAAGCTGCCGAGGAAACCCGAGCAAATTAGTTCTACGCGGAAACAGGGGCTCAAACTTCGGACTTTGGTGGGAACCTTTCTGGCACAAGCGCCTTTGGGTGGGTTGAAACCGCGCGCTGGAGACGGACTTTGGCCCGCGACATGGGGTAGTGCGTTCAGTAGGAAAAAACTAGAGAGGAGAAACATCCGAAAACATCAGCCGGAATATCACGGAGCCGGGGAAGAGGTCACCCAACACTCCCACTGTTGGAACTTGTCAATTCTCAGAAGTTGACCCGGCCCGAAAGTTGGGGAGGAAGTGCTGCAAAAAAATAATAAATTAAAGAAAAGATCATAAAAATGGCCAGCCAAAGAGGTGTGAGCCGTTGTCGGTCCTTAAAAAAAGAGACACTGCCAGTAATGAGCTTTACTCTTTGTTATTTAATTATTTTCTAAGCTTTACGTCTCATCGCAAAGTAAATAAATTATGCCTATCATTTTGGCAGCTTAAGATAATTTTGTTGGCGGTTCGGGTGTGACTAGGATAGTGTAACCCTGTAAGTGAATTACCCCTCCCTGCAATCGCTTCTAACGTGATAAATTCTTTCATTTGTGTAAGCAAATTTCGTTTGGTAAATACTAAACACATTTCCATTTTCAAATGCAATCAAGGCTTCCTATATACGAGCGGAAAGGCGGCTTCCTCGGCTGAGAAAGCTGGAGGTCCTTACCTGCGGCGTACGGACTGCTCTGGTGGTCCCTGAGGGTGCCGAGGCTGCAGGATCCCGGCGTGAGGGACGGGCAGCCGGACGTGGCCCCAAAAGTGGTCCTTATCGGGTTATACTGGAAACCACTGGCCTGGCTGCAGGAACTGAAGTCAGCATAGGCTGAAGCCAGGCTTGAGGTGTCCATCCCAGCCATACAGGACTCGTAGGCAGAGGAATTGAGGTAAGAATATTCCATTTTATACATTGAAAAGGTTCTGGATGGCTCAGCCAAGTGGAAAAATGAAATAAAAGATGGATGTGGAGAAGGTGGCTGGAGTGGGGAGATGTGCACAGCTCAACGCCTGCCTCCAAACTGGCCTCCTTACTACCAGCAGAGCCTAGTTTTATGAAAAAGCCTCCTATGAGATGCCTTGTCTGAGGTCTCTAGAGCATATAGTCCTCATAATAAACTTGGCTCTTTCCACTTGGACAATAGCAAAGCGGTTGGTCTTATTGCTGGCGCTTTTTACATGACAATAACTCATCCGTCTATTGGGCTGGCACTGGGGAACTGAGCTGTCCAACCTCCCTATCATTGATTCCTGCATCTCTAATTAGAATTTAATACCACACCATTACGCACTGCGCCCCTGATCCTCCCTTCTAACCAGCTCCCTGCCCTTTAATTCAATCACACTACTTGGAAATAATGAAAGTTGGGTGACGATTCTCCCTGATCCAATTTCCCCGAGCTTTTAAGCCTTTTTAACTGATCATATACCTTAGGCATAAATTGAGATAGTGTGTGCGTTTTCCCCCTTCTTCGTCCTCTTTTTCCTCCCCACCCCTCGGTTAGGGAGAAGAAACCTTGATGTCATAGAAAACCTGTTTTGTAAGAGTGTTACACGCTCAATTTAACAACAAGCCTACCCCCCGAAGTGCATGAAATGTTATAAAGGACTGGGACATTGGCAAGACCCAGGCACCCTGTAACATAGAGTAAGTGGGCCGAGGGGGTTTATGTGAAGGTTAAGCGGATTTCTTTAAAATACACCTGGTAGAGGGGGTTAAAAAAAATAGAAAGCATCTTATAAATTGCATTTCTCCTCCTGGTGGTTTGATGAGCTTTTGAGGGTATACAAGATACGCAGCCGCTAAAAAATAAAAAATAAAAATAAAAAAGGAGTAAAGCTCTTGAATGTAAAACGTCTGGATTCTCAACCTACCGGGATTTGTTTGCTCTCAGTTCTGTGTCTGTCTGCATCAGTGCAAGTTTGCATTTGGTTGGTTTGGAAGTGGCTGCGGTTGTTGGTTTTAATTACGCCATAACTGGCAAGTGGGCATGAAATGTACCAAATGTGTCTCCTGACCGTCTCTCTTTGGCACGTCCCCTCTCTATTTTGCCTCCACTGTTTTCAGCCCCCACAGACCCAGGGCTTCTAAAAGAGGGTCGTTGTCCTTTGCCCGTCAGGTTTTCAGACTTTAGTGAGCGAAATCCTCCCGGTTTAAGTGCCCAGGCAAGGGGTCCAGGGCGGCCACCTTTATCATCCGATTCCTCGGGCTGCTGGGTGCTGGCAGCAAGGCGCAGACAAAGAAGCCAGCAGTGATTTGTGGACCCCGGTGGCCCCATGATTTAAGCGGAGGGTAATTTTCATTTGGTTCGTTAGGCTCTAGCAGTATAAGGGAAACTATTTCATTAAATCCTTCCTCTCGGTGGACAAGAGGGGGAACGCTTAGTTGGATCGCCGTGTGGTGTAAACAAACCCTGGATATTTTATATGAATTAAATGTGTAGATAATTAGTTTTATTGCATTCATTACCCCCTTTATGTGCTCTGTAACAAGTCAGTAATTAAAGTAACAAACTCATAAAGTCTTTATAGGGGCATTTAGGCGTTCAGTGTTTGCCAAACTAAGTGCTTTAATTCGATGCTAGTGCCGGGAAGTGGATGGGCGCCCGCTCTCCGCTGCCACGGTGTTTTATTGCGCTCTAAACTGCCGCGGACGTGGTAATGGATTAAACAGGGACAGCGGCCCCCCAGCCCTGTGCTTCTCTGCAGGGTGAGTTTCCGGCTTGTTTCAGGTGACTGCGAGTCCCGGGGCGCGAGGGAGCGCTGGAGTCGGGAGAGCAGGGAGCGGGACCTCCCGAGGAGCCTGGCGATCGTTTTATGGGGAGGGGTGATAGTTTTATTGCAGTTGTATGTTGTACAATGCGTATTTGATAAAGAAGAGCCCTTGGTGACCAGTGTGCACTTTTTTGTGCATGGGGGTGAAATGAAAATAAATGTGTACAAGGTTTTACTGCGGCGGGAAACAAATTGCAGTGCTCTAAATGGTTTTTCTTTATGGTCACCAGACAAGAGCAGAAAAGGGATGCAAACATCTGTCTTCAGTCCCCCAAACCTAAAGGCCAGCAAAGACGGATGTGAATCCAAGTGCCATTTCAGCGAGGATTTGTCTTTCTTTATCCCGCTCTCATGAATATGAATCTGCATTTGGTCCAGGAGGTGGCTTTACCCCTTTGGACTGCACACATGGAATTTCCCCACCCTTACCACCCCACACAACCCACTTAAAGGAGGTGGGTGATAGGTTGTCAAGCCCAAGCCTGAGATTGTCCACGTTTCCTCGTTCCCTCGCACAGCGGGGAGGGTCGGGGGACGTTGCTTGGTTTTTCCAGCGCACCTCAGCCGCCCTAGCCAACACTCAGGGGGAATGTGCATGGGGAGGGGGGCGGGGGACGCCAGCCAGGGTGGCACCCCTCCAACGGCGTGAGGTTTGAGTGCGTTTCTCTGCAAAACAAAGTAACCTGGGTGGCCAGAAGGAGATGCATTTTGGCTCTGCGGCCTGTGCTTGACACTAAGCAGGTTCACACCAGCTTGGCACCTGCTCCTGGGTGCAGCGGGTTAGTCTCCGAGCCAGTGAGGAGCGCGAGCTCTGCGGGAAGCTGCAACCCCCGCCTGGGCTCTACGCCCGACCCGAGTGCAGGGCAATTTCACCTTGGGTGAAATTTGGAGACAGTCCCCAGGCTCCGACAGCCTTTGGGGGTAAAGAGAGACGCGGACCCGAGAACGATCAGAGAGTTCAGAGTGGAGGGGTTCCTGTGGGCAGTTTTTGAGGATGGCTCTTGGGTGGAGAGGGGGACCTTCAGGATTTAGATGGTGCCTGGAGGCAGTTCCGGTGTCAAAAAGGGTGTTGGGCTGAGGAGTCCAACGCGCAGCTTAGGGGAGCTGGGTGTTAGGAGGCGTCTGAGGGTGTCTGGGGAGGAAGTGAAGAGATCGAGGACAGAATTTCCCCAAGGGTCCCGAGCGAGGGAAATGTCAGGATGTGGAGGGCGCCTGGGACGGCGGACAAGGGTCCAGCTGAGTCCAGTGCGAGTGGCCTGGTCCAGTCCCTCCCGCCCGGGGTCCCAGCTCCCCGCCCGCCCGTCCTCGGGCGCCCCCTGGTGTCCGGCCCGGCGGGGTCGGGGCGCCGCGCGCCTTCCCGCCTTCCCGGAGCCGACCTGTCAGCGCCGCCCGCACGCTCGGATGAGCAAACGTGCCCGACTTCATTTTCCCCTTTGTGGGCCTTGTAGGTTTATTTTGTTCAGTGTCACCGTCCCTCCCCCACCACCCCTGCCCCATCGTCCCTCTGCCCGTCTTTTGTGGCCTGGGGTCCTGCTTCTGCTCAGAGATGAAAGGCCTGCGGGGCCGGGCCAGGCCAGAGCCTGAGCCCCAGCGCCCTGTTTTGTCCCAGTTGTGCTTTCTACACGCGAGCTCTCCCCTAAAAGTTGTACCAAATGGTTAATTTAATTATTCCAACTATAGACCAACTGCTTCAGCAGCCTCCACCACGCGTCTGGGAGGAAAAAAGAAACCATCTATAAGAAATAATCTAATAAAAGTGAAGTGTAGAAAAACCCCTCCTGATTTTCGACCGGCACAAATAGAATTAGAGCTTCGGCATCCTTTCCCCAAACAGACCTTTTGTCCAGATCACAACTTCAGCCAACCAGCAATGTGTACAGTGCCTGCTATTTATTTTAATAGAGGCGGGTGGGTAGCGAGATGGATTGATAGATAAATGGCCCCGTGGATAGATGGATGAGTTGGATCCATCTTCTTCTGACTTCCCTTTCTTAATATGTGTACACGGTTGATTTTTTTTTTTTTTTTACCCCTGACGATTTTCAGAATCAGTAATGGAAAGGCAATGCTATGTGATAAAAGAAAAAGAAGCCATTTAGAACACAAAAAGGGGGAGAGATTACCGGCGTATATACCATGAGAAAAAACAAGGTTTCCATGCTACCCAGTACCAAGTGAAAAAGGTTGAAAGTTTAAAAGAAACTTTTCTTTCCTTTGCTTCGCCATTCATAGGAGGGTTTCTTTTTCTTCTTCTTCTTTTTTTCCTTGAAAGTCAGCAAGAATGTTAGAAGACAAGGAAACAAAACAGCAAACAAAATGCTATTGTATCGTAGTAGCAATTCATGGGAAAATGCTTGTCAGCGTCCTAATGCCTCACTCCTAGGAGGCTGTTCTGAGGCTGTTTCACCGCAGGCAGAGCACAATAACATGGGAATGAATAAAATATTAAATACCAGTGAGAGTTTCAGAGGAATTTTCTTTTTGATTGCTCTATTTGACGCCGCATCCAAATTATCCCAGCACAGCCAGCCCACTGACTGGCAAAGTCTGAACTCAGAACTACCAGTTCTCTCAACCAGAGAGAGAGAAGGCAAGATTTGTCCTTGAGAGTCTCCAGAAACACTTCTGCAGGCAGTAGCCTTTCTCACTCACCTGCACTAAGAAAATAACTAGGACAGGACTCACTGGGACACCGTTTCCCTACAAAACAAAGTGAACTGACCACAGCAGCCCCAAGCCTGATGACCGCTGCATTCTCCTGGCATTTTAGACTTTCTACCACATTTTCCATCCCCCCTAGCAACCATAACCCACATGTTCCATAATAGAAACTCTGTGAGGTTCTGGGGACTAACCTCCTGGCACTGTGAGACTAGCAATTATTAACGGATTGACAATAGTGTGTGCGAAACAGTTAACACAGTGCTGGGCACCCAGGAAGGATCCAGTGAATGTCAGCCAGTGGGGATGCTGAGGATGATGTTGGTGGAGTCTCCCTGTATTACCTATCGAACACTCGACTTTGGAATTTACAATATGTAATGCCTATGGAAGAGGGTAGACAAATCAAAATGCAGGTACTAGGATAGCAAATGGGAGAAAACAAAGCAACTGGGCAGAAAACTTCAATTTTTAAAGAATTTCCTGGAAGGCATATACGTATTAGATAGGTTAAGTATATGCTTTAGCTTCCATCACAAGCAGGATTT